ATGTGCCAGGTGGTAATGACTTTGAATAAATGCTAATGTTGCTCCATTTCTCCTGGAAGTGCAAATAGGTAACTAGTTAACACATGTAAAAGGTATTTACTGTATATGTCAGTGTGTGTTTTACAGCTTGTTACCTAGCTCCTAGGTGGCCCGAAGAATAATGAATGGATGATACCATAGTTGTACCACAGGATATGTATGCAACTAAAAATGTTGGTAAATCTGCACATGGAGCTAACCGTGCAGTACGTCTGCTTAAACAATTTCCGGAGTGTTTGTTTTGACCTATCCCTTATAAGTTTGTTTTCATATTTGCTCATACACATTCGTAAAAACATAAACTACAAGCGCCAATTTTCTGTATAATAACTGACGCACTCTCACGCCCAACACAAACAATGAATCAAGAGTGAAGCATTTCTGCCATGGTGGAATTATTTAAAACTATCTTGGATAACCATTTGGCAGCTTTCTGCCAAATTCCAGAGGTGTCCACGCCTCAGCAGCACTCGCTCCTGGCGTAGCACACTGACACTGACAGGCATTCAGACAGGCTTGGAAATGGTGAGCAAACAGCACTTCTCCTAAACAACTTGTTTATGCTGCTACTACCCACAGTCAGCCATAAACGTGACAACATGAAAATAAAGGACAAGTGACAACCACTGCCCCTGCCTGTGCCTTTTGTTTCACCCCAGCCCCTCCAAGCTACTGTCACGGTTTACCAAGCAGGAGGCACTCTTATTATTTGCCTTGCTGTTAAAGACAGGCAATTGTTATTAAAACCAACCAAGGTTGTTCTGCAAAGAGAATCAGTGGAAACAGAGGAATGTGATGTATTAAAGGTGAAAGGTGTCAGATAAAGTCTGTTAGGGGGTCAGCTCTGGTCAGTATCTGCAGGGGGTTTGTTTACACACCATGGCTACAAGCATTTATATAAATAGCAACTTGATCAAATCCCTCTTTAAGATTCCCAGCTGTTATCATCTTTGTAAGCATTCTCGTCTGTGCTTCACATTGAATCCATGAGCAATAAATTATAACCGTGGAGATTCTCACAACAATGGAGGCTTCTGTTTTACAGCCTGTAAATGACAGTCGGCTAATCAGCAAGTTCCTGCAGGACAGGTGCTGATAACAGGCTGAGCTGCAAAATCCAAACAAAGTGATTAATGAAAGAATCCTTGACTGTTACATTCTTGGCAAACCAAGAAACATGCACAGACATTTACATTCCCTGGATGCATCAGTGGAGCACACTGAGAAACGATTTCATTGTTACTACTGAAAGGGCTTTTTATATGCTGCTTTTCTTTGGTTTGTCTTTTTGCTCGAGTTCTGGCTGTTTTTGCAGATCATTTTGATAAAGGTGTCCCACAAGGATCAATAATAGGCCCCCTTGTATTTTTTGCAAAATGAATAATAATGATTTTCAAACTGAATAATGCATTATTCGTTTAATGCCGACCATACCATTTTGTATATTTGAACAATGCCAGACAAGGTTTATTCTTGCGAGGCTTGTTTATGATTTTCACAAGTGCACATAGTTTTGATGTTACTCCAATCCATACTCTATGACTAGATACATTACATAAGTATAGGAACTTGGTTAGATTACAAAACCCACAAAAACTCAGATTGAAAACATTGTCCAAAATTTCAAATCTAAATTTAATTTAAACAATGTGTTATCTTTTTAAACCAAACAAAAACACAACACAATACAGTTAACTATAAAGAGATTCCATTTACCACAGTTGCATTCAATTGATTAATCAAGACAGCTATCACACACACACAACACTGTCACATATGAGATGGTCATCACAGACTGTGTTTTTATTTGAACAGCTGTGCTATCTGCTGAGATGCATGATGTAATAGATGGGCTCAAGGTGAACAACTAAGGCCCCGGCCCCACGAGGACGATAACGGTCGTTTCCGTTACCGTTTTGTGTCATATAGACCATTCGGCCACACCGGTACGACAGAATATGGCACTAAACGACTACGGTAACGGTAATGGGTCCCAAGGTGGATAGAACGGCATACGCAACGCTCTGGGGGGTCCAACGGCTCCGTGTAAGCCCTATACGATCATTTTCTGATAATGATGAGGCAATAGCCCCCCCTCTCCCCACCTCTGCTGCTCACCCCCGCATCAAAGTAAACTGCACACTGAATTCAGATTATTTATCTTTCTATCGATATGGACATAAACGCGAGTGAAGT